GTCGTTTATGTGATGTATGCCATGTCTCTCCATCTATGCTTCCTCTTTGATTACATAGCTCCACTTAAGTATGAGGGGTGCATCGATGGATGTCAATGATATTTTGGAAAGTTCAAATGCAGTTATATGAGTGGGTTGATGATTTGTTGTACAAAATCTAGGGTTTCCAACAAGCATAAGGGCATTAGTCCGAGGAGAGAGTTCCCAACACATGGAAAGCTCCAATCATCCCAGAACTTGCTATAACTCAAAGAAGAAGAGGAGTAAACCCCGACAAAGAAGTGAATTTAGAAGAACCACTGCCACAACAACCACCACTTTTAAAGCATCCTCATGGAGATCAACAAGAGGATCATCAAGGAACAAAAGTTGCAATGGAACATCTTACCCATGCATTCTTAGATGCAATCCCCGAGCAATTCAACACCAACCTCTTATAGCTCCAAGACCTTCCCCTTGGCGAGAACACATGCCTTAATTGTTATCTCTTTGCCCCAACTTGGAATGGAGGAAGCCATGCGTTGAAAGATCAACAAACCATAGTGGTTGAAGTTGGTAAGAATAGAGGAGAAGATATATAAAGTGCTAGTGTTGGAGTTCCTTAGAACACTCACCATTCAAGACTTCACAGGTGCATAAGATCTACCTTGACAAGAGAAAGTGATTTTCCGAGAGTTCACAAGGGCATTCGATATCTATCCTGCATACTTTGTGGATTTTGAGGATGACTTATCCACCTTGACAAGAGAAAGTGATTTTCCAAGCTTCAAAGCATTCTATGAATCTAAAGTCAAGGTGCCCAATAAACGACAATGGGATGTCAAGTTGTCCAAAGGCTAGTGAAGTGAAGCTCAAATGGAGGTTGATCCACCACATGCTCACAAGATCCGTGGGTGGGACGTACAAAAGCAAGGTCAAACTAACTGCCCAAGATGTCACCTTCCTCTATAACATGCATAGTCCTTAACCTCTACACCTCGGTCTAGCAAGCTTGTACACGTTGAAAAGATATGAAACAAATCATCAACTAGCTGCATTGCATGGAGGAGCATTATTACTCATCTTGCCTGATACTTCGGAGTCGACTTCTGGGATGTGAAGTTCCAATTGGATAATAGGACCATTCTTATTTCTTCCGACACTCTGAAGTCGCATATCAAGGTTCTACACCTAAGCGAGGATGATATATGGGGATTCCAAAGCCTTCCATTTCCTATCACCAACACCTTGGACATGGAAGGTACGGTATTCCGCCTCCCAGTGAAGACCGCTCGACAAGCAGCAAGAAGAGAAATGGGCATGGATGACGAGGGAGGAAAAGAAAGGCGACATGCAAGAGGAGGTTTCGACACAACAACCAACCTACCAACCGACAACTTCAATGATAAATTAAGCAAGAGACTCCCATACTCAAGCTTTGGTAGCGACAATTCTGAAGAGTCAAAAGAGGGAGAAGGAAGCGAGGCAACACATTATGGAGCGCCTTCATGCAATTATGGAGAAGATATAGATCCCTCTAGCGAAGATCACTCCAAGTTTTGCTGGCTATCCTTCTCCAGAACCATATGTTACTGGAGATGATGAAGTTTTGTGGTGTTTGAAAGGCTTAGAGAGAATGTGTTTGGAACCTTGATGATATAACCAAAACAAATTCAAATTTGAGGGTTCCAAACACCTGGTCCTATGTAGAGCTGGAAAACGGGACGGTCTGCACCAGACTGAACCATATATACGGCCTACAATCCAGACCAAGAGGCTGGAGTATAGACCAGAGACCATACCACATACTATACAGCCCATACCAGACCACTCCTGTACGGTCTGGTCCGGATAGACCAGATTGAACCAAAATGAACAATTTGTTTAGTCAACCACATGAAAAACTGAACCAATAATCAAGAAAAAAATATTTTTTTGCCTTAAAACTTAAATTCCAATATACATGAATGATTTTGACACACTAAATCTTCGTAAATATACGAAGTCATAGCATCCCAACTTGCACCATCACGTCATAAACATTAACATAATGTTATATGGAGATATTATCGTCTTATTCAACAAAAAAAGAGACATGATCGCCTCTACTCTCTAGTGAAATGTCATTGCAAATGAAGGAGGGGACGAGATTCTCAAAATTAGGGTTGAGACTTGGTTCTCATTGGGGGACTAAGGAGAGTCGTTGAGTTGGCTGCTAACACGTATTGGGAAGTAGGCTTGGTCCACAGCTTGCTGCGATAAACCGTGGTCTAGACCAGACCAGACGAAAATATCAAATCATCATAAAATACAGACCATGGACTAGACCAACCATTCTTAACGGTCTACAATCTGAACCAAACTTTGCGATTCAATTTAGTCCAAAGTTTTTCAAACGGTCTGGTATATTTTTCCCTCGTTGAATTAGTCAATCGTATTGCTCAAATGAAAGAAACCGATACAACGAGATAGAGTCTCTAGGAGTCTATGTAGTACAACTCTTCTCTATCCACCCTACCTCCTTTTCTATACCATCTGGTTATAGTAAAAACCCAAGATACCAAAGAAAAGTGAGAGTGTAACAATCAGTAACTAGAGTATCTATAAGTAGCCAAATTCTTCTAACTTTGCTCGCATAAGATCATTTCCAGCAAACATGTATCGCAACTCAGCCTGCAACATCTCAGTGAGTTTCTTTGGGTCATGCCATGCAACTCCATGAACAATACCACATCTTTCTTTCCATACAAACGTAAGCAACATACACCATATTGCTTCATGCCAACGCCCAACCCTACGGTTGCATCGAACAGTAGCACTAGCAACATTTCCAAATCCCTATGTGCCAACAAATTACAACGCAAAATGGATGCTAGTCTAGAAGAGTAAGGGACAGTAAAATTAATCACCGCAATGGTCCAAGACAGTAAAATAAATCACCACAATAGACAAAGACAATGAATATACCATCGTTTTTATTAAAAATAGTGAAATAATAACCGTAGTGCATCAAAATGGTGAACCAATCACCGTGCTGTACTAAGACAGTGAACCTATTCACCGTAATGGACTCTTGCGGTGATTTTTGACTGCCATCCACGTCATCAATCCGCGCCCCCGCCACTTCGCCGCAGCCGTAGAATGCAGTGAGGCGCGGATTCTGGTTTTCCTCCCAGATCCAACGCCTCATAGCGTCCCACGTCAACAATCCGCGCCAATCACCGCTATAAAGGAAGACGATGAATTAAATGCAATCGATGGTTGCGAGGCCTTGACTGCCATCGACGGCTGCGGTGATTTCCATGTCTCTCTCTCCAGTAGGTTCTCATTCTATAAATACCACTATTCCCCCCTCATTCCAAACCACGCCACACAATTCTTCTTTTTCCCTCCATTCCTCAACTCTAGTTTCGTTCTAAGTATGCTCTGTAGTTGCGGCTAAGTCTGATCTTTCACATCAGAAAGAATTACTAGAGTTTTTTTTACAATCCTCCACTCTAAAAACCCGTCGTTACTCTCTCCAGCTTTCGCCAAAAGATGAACGAAGAGGCTCTGAGGGTACGTACTTTCTTTTCCTTTCGTGATATTTTTTTTAATGGGTAGGTATGAAATAATCTGATTTCATTCAATTTTTTATAGATGGGTGCCGAGATATACGACCCTCGATTGTATATCCATCCTGGCCCAAGTGATATGAGGTATAAAACCGAGCAAAAAACACATCACTCTCGTGCAATTTGGCACAACAATCCGGTAGACACTCCTTACCGTATAAATTTGTAAATTATTTCAGTATTTTAAAAGTTTTAATTTTACTTTCCTTTGACTAACAACTTCGTGTTTTTGTTTTTTTGTTTTTGTAGGAATCACTCATTCCTGTCAGTCATCGATGGTCTCGTCATAAACAACCGCAACTAACTAATTGAAACATGGACCATAATTAGCATTACAATAACATGAGTATACTAAACCAATTCATCTAAATTCATCTAACTAACAACAATCATACCATAATTAATCTAAATTTCTCTAACAAAACATATTTGCCACTAACCGTAATTCATTAAGTACAAACATATAATTATTAAAACATCAATATCTAAACAGTACATAATTATATCATACCGAAAATTTTGAGTTTCTGTATCCGTAGTTGCTGGAAGCAGGCTGAGAAGGAGATTTTTGTAGAAATATGAGTGGAATGGGGCAAATTTTTAAGGTAAGTATGATTATATATATGCAAACCAGGTCAAATAATCACCGCAAGAGTCCATAGCAGTGAAGTGTTCACCGTTGTCGCCTACTGCGGTGAATGCTAGGTCGTTGTGACCTAATTTTCCACCTACCAGGGCTGGAAAACGTGGTAAACAATCACCGCTTTTCACAACTACAGTGATACGTTCGCCGTTGTCAACCAGCGTGGTGATAACTTCACCGTTTTGCTCTCCTACGGTGATAGTTTCACCGTTGTTTATCATGGCGGTCATGGTTTCACCGTCATTCTTTAAGACAGTGATGTGTTCACTATCTTAGTCAATTGCGGTGATTTTATTCAATGTTTTGGTCCATTGCGGTGATGAACAAACATGCGTACTTTAGGAATTTTTTATAACTAACGTATTTTGAAATTTTTTTAAGAATTAGTTTATTTTGGGATTTTTTCCTCAAATTTCTTTATGATACAATTTCAATTTAATTTTTAACGTTATGATATAACTTCAATTTGTAATTTAAAGCACCAATACTTAATAACAACGTGCAGAAGTGCTACATTTTGAGGGGTTTCAGTGATATTAATTTATTTTGAAACAATGAAATAATGAATACTAAAACTTTTCCTATATCATCATTTGGATTTTAATTTCTTTTTTTTTTTAATTTGGCCCCCAACCCTTAATCCTGACTTCGCCTGTGATAGGTACGATGTTGACGTTCAGCCGTCGAGTTAAATAAGGTGTTGAGGTTCGGAGAATCGGGAACCCGCAAACATAACTGTTTATTTGGAACAACGGCGAAGAGCTATGGGCAGCAACCACAATCATCCGGCACCGGCGGCCCAGATTCCGACCAGCTTCGGTCACGAGCTAAGGGCATGCCTCCGATGCCGGCTCGTCAAGACTTACGACCAGGTCACCCTCTTCCTTCCCTTCTTCATCTGTTTTCCCTTTCTTTCTCCCTCCCTTTATTGTATTAGGGCTTTAGGAATTAGGTCGAATCTGCAAAAATCAGAGGCCAGGATTATCCTGTCTTTGACGATATCGCTCCTCGAATGTGCAGTTCAGGGAGTCTGGGTGCGAGAACTGCCCCTTTTTCAAGATGGAGGAAGATCATGAGCACGTTGTCGATTGCACCACTCCCAATTTCAATGGGTAATTTCGCCCTTTGTTTTCTTCATTGTCGATTGCAAGCAACTTGATCTTGGATGTAGTGAATGATTGAAAAGTTTGTATTATGGTCAGTTATGTGCTCCCGATAGCTTCTTTTCCCCCTTCTTCTTTGACGATTTTTCTTCTTTGCTGCAGTATAATATCTGTTATGGATCCCGCAAGAAGCTGGGCGGCTCGATGGTTGAGAATTGGTATCTTCAGTCTCTTTGCTCTTTTCATCCTTAACCCAATTTGGGAGGATGTTGCTTGTGCTTTGTATTATTGTGCTTGAGCTCATTTGGGCTATCCAGTTTCTATTGGTGCTCTCGGCGGATTTTTACACCCACCGCGTATCACGAAATTGTTGATGCATATGTCTGGTGTCATTTTGTCAAACATAGTTGTTTCTTTCAGTTAGTTTGGATGTTTATCTGCGTTCTTGTATGAGTTGGGGTTTGATGTTCTCCCCTAGATTGTTCATTTTGCTTACATGCATTATGGCTGAACTGTTTCCAGGGAAATTCGTCCCCGGCTGTTACACCCTTGCAGTTTCAGAGCAGCTGTCAGAGGATTTGCAGGTCAGAATCATTTCATGTAGCGTGCGTTGATGCAAATAAAAACTCAGCGTTGGTGTTGGGAAGTTTTGCTGTATTCGAAGCCAACTTTAATGGTCGAGACTAGTTTGTTTTCGTTCTGCTAATGGTCTCTTCTTCTGTAGATGTATAGCTTCCCAGTTAAAGCTTGCTTGTAGCGTTCTCAACAAATAAGTTTCGGGAAATAACCATTCACTGTCTTTTTCTTGGGTGATTCTTGCAGATGTTATGTCAAGAAGAGCGCGTGCTTTACGTTCCTCCAAAGCGTGTATAAAGAGCGAGATCAAGTGTTCTTTCTTTTTGCTCGGATCAAATGTCTCCGATGTGTACATTTGCAGACCTGATATTAGTAAGTAGTAATGATGTAATGACTAATGGGAGTAACAACCTCCATGTTTCCGCTGCTTCGTGCTTGCATGACGTGGTTTCTCATAACATTACTTCCACGCTTCCGTAAAAATGAAAAAGCTAGCTTTATAATCCACATAGTCCACACTTCACAGTATTGTCTTCCCAACCAAGGCAAAATACCTGTACAGAGCAAGGCCTCTCTGATTTGGTGCTATAATCTGCGGCAAAATACATCTACAGAACAAGGCAATTATACAGAAACAGTAAGAACCAGCACGAAAAAGAAAACGAATTGAACGGTGGTAAACAAAGACAATGCATGCAGCTATCTTTCCTGTGACCTCGAGCCAGAGTCCTGTGATTCCCAGTGCATGACATGTTGAGAAACTCTGGGAGGAAAATGTACCTCAAGGACTTCACTTATCACACCTTTACTCTGCGAAGGTGCACCTTTCTGTTGCTTTTCCACCCTCGCAACAGCTTGGCCGTCAAAGGTAAATGCAACAATGCCCTGTACAGAGAGGATTTGTGACTTTCAAACTGAAATATTCAATCAACTACAAGAAAGAAACTGTCTCTACCTTGGGTGCAGCTTTACTAAACTGTGTGGCAGCATCATCACTTCGAGCATACACGGTGTTACTCACTAACCTGCCATGCCTGTTACAAAGCCCAGTGGGGCTCTGTAAGAAGAGGGAAAAGCTCATATCAATCAGTAGTCAGGTTGGAAGGCAAGATTCTGGTAGGATAACAAAGCAATGAACAAGAAGAGTTGATGCACCTGGAGAGCACTTTTGGCAGGAACAGAGAGGAAATCTCCGACACCAAGTCCTAAACTCCTGGCAACGGCCATTGGATTGCTTATAACCCCAGCAGAACCAAACACATGATCACGGCTTAAAGGACTTTGCAAAGTCAAATGAAACATGAACGTGCTGGCGTAAAAGGGATTCTCCAACTGTTAAATAATGAAGCGAACTCCTCAATCAAACACCTTGTATGTCTTGTGAATAAGTTGACGAGTGTAACGCTTAACGATGATGTCCCTCATTGATTCTAAGATAGCCATCTGATTCTGATCTGCAGTAGTCAACTGCTTGAGACTGATTCTCGCTCCCTCAACATCAGCAACAGACATAAGACGTTCTGTAAGTAACTGCAGATGTGAGTAGCAAACAAAAATGTCTGGATTACGACATTAATTCATTCTGGATCATGCCTATAACTGAAAGTCAGAAACCCTAAAGAAGCACATAGATGACACCAATCAGATGGAGAACGAAAAAGATTACGGTTTCACCAGCAGTAATTCTTAGATTGACGGCTCTAAACAAGATGCAATTGAGACAACAGTAAAACACGGCTCCTACGGTCCAATGAGTAACCAAATGTCGATGTTTAGGGTTGGGTTTCTAGGTCTTTTTCATTGATTTTGATGGTAATTTTGGAATATCGATGTTTAGGGTTGTTAGGTGAGGAATTTGGGGATTTTCATGTAATTGATCAAATTGGGCCAAATGTTGGCATGGGATTGATTGCTTGGATATCCTAGATTGTGTTGTATGATTGATTAATGCCTTGGTTGGCCAAATTTGCATAATTTGAGTTGAACTTGAGATTGTGCCACCAAGTGTTGATATTCTTGTCTAGTATTCATTCAATGTTATGGATGATGAATGAATGGTTCCAAGGCATGATCTAGGGGGTTTCTTGCTATGAATGTGATATATTACACCCATAGTACCATGTCCTTGCTTTGGTTTGGCTTTATTTTACCTCGAATGTTGAGTTTTGATGTGTGAAGTGACTATGCAAACTCGTTGCATATAGTTCAAATTAAGTGTGGGAGTGCATTCTTCTTTCCCAATGTGCTTAGTTTGACAAATTCTTTGATGTATAGTGTGTGGTTTGCCCAATCTTGCAGGTATGGAGGCCAACCCGAACCACCAGTATCTGAGGCATTTTAATGAGGATGAGGAATACAATGATGACCTCATGGGGTGGTTCGATGTTGAGGCCATACCCCACTAGCTATTCGATCTAGATCAGTTTATGGGGTTCAAATGCGGGTGCGTGATGGTTGCTTCCCTATGCCACCCGCAATGGATCAGGCTCTTGAGCATCAACAATGATGCCTACTGCGAGCTTTGCATCGAGTTCTACACCAGGTTTTGCCACCACAAGGGGAGGTCGAGGCGAGGCGATCCCTTCCTCACTTTCTCTCTCGGAGAAGTTCACCACCATACCACTTACCGGCAGTTCACCCAGGCCTTGGGGCTCAACATTACCTACTTCACGGTGTCTTCTAAGCCCCGACTCCTTGAGGCTTTCCACGAGTAGGACACATTTTGTCCCTTGGCGCTGAAGATAGATGAGCAGTTTTCTTTTGGGAAGACAAATGCCATACCATTCGACCACAGTTGAGCATCCTCAACATGCTTCTTAGCAACTCGGTCATGGCGAATGACCAGGCAAAGGGGAAGATAACAAAGAGAGGGTTGAGGACGCTGCAATCCATGTCTCGACAGAGGAATAATCTTGATCTTGAGAGAGTGGTGGTGACTTTCTTTGCAATAGTTGGGAGACTTCCGACAATCTCAATGATGCATCAGGGGCCACTCATCACAACTTTGGCCTGGTACCGTGGTGTTGACCTCGGCGTCTAGACCAAGGTTCATCGAACCACAATCTTTTAAGAAGGCACTTTGATGCGGATGAAGCTGATGAAGATGGAGGGACTTCACCTTGCTCATCTGATTAATGTGCCCCAACCGTCGAGAGCTGATGGATCGTCTTATTCACCTTCAGCACAAGCCAGACTTGTCGATCTATCTTACCCACCTCAGTGGTGAGGATTGCATTTCTTGAGGCCTAGCTTCTTGAGGTTCAAGCTAAGTTGTTCCGCCAAGGACAATGGCATGAGCACTCCATCTTCATTGTGGAACAGCTCGCTCACGCCCATGACATCAATCTCACCCGTTCAGGTGCCCACCCTCCACTTCCCAACAGCACAATGATGATGATAAATGTGACCCTTCTTCTCTATCTCATGACTCTTGTGTTTTTCTTTTCCGCACCTTGAATAATCGTGAACTACTTATGTTTGAGTGTGTGTGTTTTTTTTTTCTTCAGTATGAATATTGTTTTTGTGTAATAATCTCCCATGTGGGAGTGTCAGTTTCTTATCTCCTATTCTCCACAGATATTGGTCCTATTTGATAGGTCCGAATTCCAGTCCTTCTCAGTTGCATCACATTTGGTAATTTGGTTCCACTATTCTACATTGTGTTGGTTGATGTGGTTGATTAGTGGGCTACAACATGTGATTTGTGTGATGATGAATGAAATTTTCCCTATTGTGAACTCTCAAATTTTTTTGAAAAAGGTGCTCTTGTGCTTTAAAATTTATGCCCCCGCTATAGCATTCGATCATTGTGTTTGAGTTTATGTTGTTAAAAGGCAATTCTCTTAGGCCGTTTTCTTTAGAGGGATGTGTACGGGGAGAAAGGATTAGGTTTTTAACTTTCATTTACTACCTCCATCCCCCTTACACTGTTTCTCCTCGTCGCAAGGCTCAAAACTAGCGCTCCTGCCATGACCAGTCAAGATTCATGATCCCGAATAACCTTTGTTAGGTGAGAGTCTCAATTTCAAAATCACCGGTTGGAACCCAAACATTTCAAAGAAAACAAGCAATAAAAGGGGTTCCAACCAATATTCAAAAAGAAAAGAGCACCTAGCATTGATTCAATGGTTTTGAAAGTATCTTCATCCATAAGTTATTTTTCCTAGCATCACTACTCAATCATGTCTCGACTCAAGACTAGATTCTTGACGAGTTGTTGGGGAAGTCACTTGTATCCGGTTGACCTCGTAAGTTGCTAAATGGCCTAGAAATCCTTCTACTAACAATCGGGGTTGCATGTCCTTGGGGGAACCTAGCAAGTTGGACTGGATTTGAGTTAGGTTTGTTTCGCGACGAGCAAACGGATAAGTGTAGTGGAGTTTGATTCATGTAGAATTATGCATGTTTTGCACCCCATATTTGATCATTTTGGCTTGCTTTGGATGATTCCTTTCTCAATTTTATGCTAGGTATGCTTAATTTTGTGAAATCCAGAGTCTATCAGTTTGAATTGGAAAAGGAACGAGTTTGGACCAGTTCAAGGGAGAAAAAGGAGAGAGAATTGCCAAGGAAGGAGAACCGCATCGGCAAGAGGCAAGACTATGCAGAACAACCGTGCCACAAGCGAAGGTGACCTTACGAGAACGAAAAACGCAATGCAAATCGACATTGGCCATCGAGAAGTGCACAGTCAGACCATGCACAACATAAAGGGACCATGAGACAATAGAAACAATGAAGCTTTCGACCGGTTGCATAGTCAAAACAAAGTGAAGTGCACGGTCGTGCGCCTTACTGTGCAGAATTCCTCCATAGGTAAAAAGGGTGTTTTCAACAATTTAGGAGAGGGAAAGACTTTTGGAGAGAGAAACATATATTTATCTAGAGCTATAGAGAGAGAAAGTGAAAAACAAGATCTTTGAAGGTGGAATTTGGATCTTCCCGAGTGACAATATGCCTCAATTTTTTCCTCAAATCCACCCAAGGGCAGCCAAGAAGCAAGAAGGACTCCTCATTTATGTTTTCTCCTTTGTTTATGGCTGTTTCTCTCCGATTATATGGAGTAATCATTTTGTTACTTGGGTTTGAAGAACCCTACATTGTATGTTAGGTGATTGATTACTTATTTTTGGATCGATTGTGAACCTTTCTATCTATCTATCTAATTGATGTCTCTTCAGTAATTGTTTGGGCCTTGATTACACCTAGTCAATTAGGGCTTTGACCAATTGAGGGAGAATATCCTCAATTTGGGCAAAGAGCACCATCAATTGGACGCTTAGGATGACTTCATTAGT